TGGTTCTCCAAGTCAACTAGGAAACTGGATTTAGTTCTCCTTGCAGTTCAAATTCCATGTCCTGGGGATGAATGTGCCTGGTCGATTCTGGTCCTAGCAGAAAAGCAAAGGAGAACATAATGCCACAAACATGAAATGTGTGCTTATTTCTCTCCCTTCCCCTTTCTTGGGAACAATTTCTTACATTTCATGGCTTTTTAAAAAAATAAAACATTTTTATTTTTAAAACTTTTTTACTTACCTGATCATAAATACACTTTATGTACAAAAGTTTATGGAAGACACTAAAAGTGAATCATCTCACTCTATAGGGAAAACCATTGATAAATTCGGTTTTTCAGTCCTTTTATCATATTTGTATGCATGTCTGTTTGTATATACAATATTGTACTCACAGCTTTGTTGCTTTGTACATTTTTTATTTAGAAATATATTATAAACACATCCCCATTTTTTTTAAAATTCTCACAATTTCCCTTATCCTCAAGATTGTCTTTGCCAGGAATTATTCACAGTCCTTGGTGCAAATTCTTTGTCTTTTAGGGCCACTGATGTCCTTCTCTGCTTATAGAAATCATATAATGTTCATTGAGCACAGTAGATACTCAATGAACACAGTAGATGCTCAATGAAGTGAATGGCATTGACAATGTACCTCTCTCTGCAGGGAGCTCAGGTGTTCAGGTGAGCAGGAAGGCATTTGGCAGATGTACCAAGGCCTCTTTCTGGAAGTGAGGTCCCATCTTAAGGCACATTTTTCATGAGACAATCATCACCCTGGAGTCTGAGAGACATGGCTGCATAGATTTGGTCCACCGTCACCCTGACGCAATGCAGGACGCCAGGGTCTGCTACCCCAAGAGTTTATTGTCTAACCCGACGCTCTCTGTGTCCTCATTTCTTTACTTACCATAGTGGTGATCCTAACACCCAACTCGCAGGGAGATGACACAATGAATGGGAAAGTTCTCGGGAACAGTCGTAAAAATGATTTCTCTCACAAACCCTAGCTGAGCGGGGTCTCTGCTCTGTATAGGCCATACATCAAATCACGGCTCTTTCAAGTTTCCTTTGATGAAGAAACATGACAGAATAGGCATACAGCAAAAGATACTGTTTTTCTAAATTAAAATTTGGATTTTACCTATAAATATTTTTACTTATATTTATGACACATGCAAGCAAGCTATCTTTGGTCCCTTGGAATCTGGTTTGTTTGATAACAGCAAGATAGCTCTCTCTAAATATTACTAGACAGACTACTAGACATACTTACTGCTAAACATAACTTTGGGTTATGCTGATAGGAAAGGAAATCCTGGAAGGCTGTGTAGTTTATTCACTTATTTGCCTGTGCATTAATTCATTCAACAAACATTGACTGCTCACTTTTTGCCAGGTACTGTGATAGGTGTTGGAATACAGAAGCAAAAGAGATTATCTATGTCCCAAGAGCTTACATTTCCTGTGGAGGAGGCAGACACACCAACAAATGACTAGACTGCAATATGATAGGACTATAATAACATTATAACTATTTGTTGAGCCCCCAGTGTTGAACCAGAGACTGTTCTGGGGCTGGAAATATATTATGTACACATAGCACTTGCCATCAAGAGCTTATGCACTAGTATTAGGGGGAAAGTTACAATTTGGCTATTGTAGGCACAGAGTTGAAGGCTGCTAACTATCCCTGGGGAAATCATGGAAGATTTCCCAGAGGAGGTGATGGTTGTGGTGAGCCTTAATGATTGAGCAGGGCATTCCAAATGAAGGCTATATTAGGTGGAAGCTATGGGGGAGGTTAATGTGCAAAAGAGAGGACTTTCCTGTAGGAGGAAACAGCGCCTGCCAATGTATGTGTGGATGGATGCACCTGAGGGAGCCGGAAGAAATGAAAAGGTCAGATCATACAGGGCTTTGTGCACCTTAGTAAGGAGTTTAGACTTCATTCTGTAGATACTGAGGCTCTATGCAGATTTCAACATTGTCAGGCTTGTGTTTTAGGATGATTTTTCAATAACAATGAGGAAAACGGACTTCCGGGGAAGGGAATGGGCAAGAATGTTGTCATCGAGAAAGGGTAGGAGTCTGACCCACTTATCCAAAAGGAAATTGATAAGTGCTTGAACTAAAAGCAGTGCTGTTGGGTAGAGAAGAAAGAATAGGGATAGAAATGTCAGATATAGAATGTGTAGATCAATATAGAATGTTAGAGCATTGGATAGGGGTGTTAGAAAGGGTTGAATTCGAAGTGGCTGCTAGGCTTCCGGTTTCAGTGAGTTCAGTGGTTGATACATGATGACACCCTAGGAACCATAAGAAATTACTCTGGCTATTTCTTGGCTAATTTTCAGGTGGCCACTGGAAGAAGCCATCGCTGCCCGGGGTGCAGACAGACAGCTGATTGACGTGAGCAAGTTCTTTTAGGCTAGGACTATGGTTTTGAGACACATAATTATTTACATATATTTTACATTTATATATAATAAACATATATGTTTGTTATAGATATATGCTGACCTATAATACGTGTGTGTTTGTGTGTGTACACACACACACTGACCATATATATATTATATATTGAATGTATCTGTATGACCTGGCATATATGATGACCACATTTGTTTCGGTGACCACCCCTGTGTTTAAGGACATCACTTTCTTTATTTCCTTAATGCCACGTGATTGCAGCAGTATGGAGCACAGGTCCTGGAGCCCGGCTGCCTGGGCTTGTGCCATCTGTCACTTGCAGATTGAGCCGGGGGTAGTCATATCACCATTTCTTCCCTGAGTCTCCTCCCTCTATAAAATAGTCATAACAATCTCACATGCCTTCTAGGGCCATTGTAAGGATTAAATGAGTCCATTCATGGTGGCTCATTTAGCACGTGGCCTGCCTGCTACATACTTAGTGCGGTATGGTCATTCCCTCACACTGTCATGCTAAGAACATCTCCACATGACAGATCTCAGGGGGCCCCTGATGCAGCTTGAGTGACATCTCTACCTGTTGCTGACATGCAGGGCTGTCCCCGAGCCAGGCTCCGTGCCACAGGCTGTGCATGTATTACATCTGTTGGTTGTACAACAGAGCTGTGAGGTTCTACATGTTAGGACTGTTTTTAGTTCAAGCACTTATCAATTTCCTTTTGGTAACGGGATCGGATTTCTACCCTTTCTCATTGTCAACATTCTTGCCTATTCCTACCCCCAAGAAACTCATTTTCTTAATTTCTGCCATGATCCCAGTGGTACAGATTGAAAAACAAGACACCTGAAATGTTAAACAGTCTGCCTGAAATCACACACGTAGTGAGTAGAGAAACCAGGACCCAAACTCCCAGGACTGCCTGGCTCTAACACCCTTGGCCGTCATTCAGGCAGCTGCCAGGGCAGCCAGTGACCAGAGCAGTGAGCTATTTCTAATAGGATGCTGGCTGGCAGGGCCTCATTATTCCAACTGCAAGAGTTCCCCTGGTTCTCAGCGGGGCGGTCCAATGATGCTGAGGTGTCCTTCCTTATTTCAGAGAACAATTATGCTTCCTCCTGCATCTCTTCTCTGAGCTGCCCAGAACACCACAATCAAAGTGCCCCCTCCTCATCTTTTCTTTAAGGATTTAGCCCCGCTTATAGAAACCTTGAAACAAAGGATCCAATTTAGCAGTCTGCAAAACATTGTAAGAATATGATCTGGAAAAGATTATTTTAAATGGCAATTGCTTTGACTGTGTTTAACTGATCCATATTAGCCACTTAGAGGAGAACCTACTTGGAATACACATCGCCTGTGTGCTCAGCTTATCCGTTTCCACATCATCACCTTCACGTCTTGCTGGAACGTGGTAAATGTCAGGCTCCAGTTTTCATTTTGCCTTTCAGCTCAGTTCCTGCTCATGCTGTCGACGGTGCAGATCAGAGTGTTGCCATTTTTCATGAAGCTTTCTCTGATGCACAAAGTTCACAGGTTGTTCAATAGAAGCGTGAACTATTACTAATCACACTGTCTTTTTCAATTGCCAGCTGAGGTACCTGGGGAATTTAGGAGTAAGTTACTGATGGAGGTTATGCCCAGGGTGCTAAGTCCGAGAACTTTCTGCCATTACAGGCCATTGTTTACAACCTCAGAGCAGACTCTATTTCAAAGAACATATTCTAGCCAAAAATTCTTCTATAGACACTTCGCCAAGATTGTGGAAGTTGAATTTCCTAAGCTTTGAATCTGCCATTGAAAAAAAGAAACACGTTTTCCCTCCAGGATACTAGTTACCCTCTGAAGTCTCTCATGTTATTCTCTCAGAGAAAGAAATCTGGCTTCCACCCAAGTCACGTGTGCCGCTTTAGTTAAGCTGGGTATTGAAAATATGCACCTTAAAAAAGAGATAAAATAGGCAAAGTAGGTCAATCTAGCAACAACCCATTGCTTTTCTGAAAGGATTCACGCCCAAGATTCTTTATATTGGAAGTTTCCCTTGAAACTTTGAGATGATTTGCAAAACCCAATTTACACAAAACCTTTCAAAAGCTCATGTGTTAAACAAAGCACTATTAGTCTGTGTTGTTTTGAAATCCTTGCTTAGCATAGCTTAAGTGCAGACCTGAAAAAAAAACAAGAGAAAAAACCTATATCTACATTAAAAATATGGTTTTTGGGCACTATCGATGACAAGCAAATGAGAAGTTCATGAAATTATTGGTTTGAGAAGGAATGCATTCTCCTGGACTCAGGTCTACTTCCTGTATTTTATTTCTGTACACACTGGCACATGTGCGATGTCAGCTTGTGAATCTGAAGGTGACTTGGAGGCTTCACAAAAAGTACTCACCAAGTGCTAGCCGGCAAGACCGAGAGTAGGATGTGTTTCTCTGTCTTGACTTATTTTAAAGCAACCATTTTATTGGGTGCTCATTATGGGCTGAATCATTTACAGAGTGCTTTATATATATCATCTCATTGCATCCTGGCATGAAACTGATTGCAGCCATAATTAATTGTTCTCATCCTTTCCTGGCAGGGGAGAGGCTGTGATCACGAAGGTGGTTTTCCCAGGGTAAGGCTTATCCATCGCACTCCGGAGGTGCTGGCCCCTGTGATTTCCCCGAAAGTGGGAAGCTTGACTGCAAAATTTGTGGTGGGTAGGCTGGGGGACCGCGTTCACACTGTTTCCTGGGAGAAAGAAAAGAGTTCATTGTCCTCTTCTTCCCCCTGAAAAAACAGATTCTGGGAGGTGAAGTCATTTGTCCAAGGTCACACAGTTAATTAATAGTTCTTGATTTAAATACAGGCTTGTATAAGGTCAAAGGCCATACTCGGAGTCCATACACTAGTCACTTGACCTCAACTGCACCTCTGGGCTGAGCCGTTACATTGCTGAGGGTAGAGATGTGGTCTATATCTGTTTGTCTCTGTCCTCCAGCAGGTTTGGTGGGGGCAATAGTATTTGTCGTGATTGTGGTGATGGCTGAGATTTTGGGTGAGACGATGCTTTCGGAGAACCTCGATGCTATGCAAAGGATGACAATATGAACACGATGTCCCCCTCAGAAAGATGAGAGGGTTTATACCACCTTGAATTGTGGTTCTGGGCCCCACCTTATTTCTTGAGAGGCCAGAAATGCATCTGATTATTTTAATATACTTCAGAGCATATAGCAGGTTAATGGCTGCTAGGTGAATAGTGGATAAATGAACGATACTGTTAATAGTTAACATTTTTTGAGCTCTTATTGTGAACTCAGGCACTGTTCTAAATACTTTATACATGCGCGCGCGCACACACACACGCACGCAGGGTATGGCACAAATAACACCCCTTTTTTATTACCAAGTCATAGCATGTAATTCTGTAATATAACACTATCACACTCAAGCACACCATATGACTTGTTAGGTGAAATGTTCAAACTAAAACTATAAATTATTACACCCATAATATTACCCTACCAACCACACTAAAGCAGGCATTACTTCTGCTAGAATATATATATATATTTATATAAAATTTATATATATATAAAATTTAATCCTTATAACAGCTCTATGTGAGGTCAATTCCAACATCCTTCCCACTTCACAGATGAGGAAAATAAGGCACCAAGCATTACATGACTTGCCCAAGAACATACAGAAAGTGGCAGAGGTGGGATAAGAACTACATCCTTTGGCTCCAGAATCTCCCCAGGCACTGCGCCCTAATGCTTCTCAATAAAACCCGTTTCTCCTCTCGCACCGCACCATGGAGCCCCCGTCCTACATTTACTGTAGCATTTCTCATAACTGACAAACTTTGTACTTGGTTTGTTTTCCTTTTTTTTTTTTTTTTTTGTCTTCCCACACTGTGCGTAAGCTCCAGGAGGACAGAGACTTCTATCTTCTTTGTTTACCACGGCATCCTCAGCACTGTTTCTTCCTGGGGCATCTACGTGCCACTGTTACCTATAGAAGAGTCCTGCACATGGTAGGCAGTGAATAGATCTTCACTGAATGAGAGAATGAATGAATCATGCGAATATCTTTAGCTCCTCTGAACTGGCAGCTCTTCAGGATTTGTCCTGCTCTAGTTCTGCTTGTAGAGATGATTTCAAATATAGTATAGTGGAATTGTAGGAATATAAACAAATTTGGGCTGAAGAGTGAATAAGAAGTCAAGAAGTAATTCAGCTGAGGGGAGGCAAGATATATAGGGTGGTAGCTGAAAGGGGCATCAGTGGGAGGGAAGCTATCTGTGGGCAGAAGGACTTGCAGACCAAGGGGAAGGGACATGTGGCAAGGGAGATCTGAGCAGGGGCGACTGAGGGCTCCGCAAAGGGAGATGAGAACTGAGTTGAGAACACTGGTGGCCGGGTCAACCTTGCAAAGGTTGCCACTGTTTCTGTAACAGGGCACAAGGAGGCAATGACTGGTAATTATGCACAGAGATTTGAAGTACAGAGAAATCAAGAGCTCCTCTTACCTGCCCTTGATCTTCTCAGGATAATAGCAAGGTGAAGGTCTCTACATATGATATTGAAGCCAATTCTGACTTTAAAAAATGATGTCAGGTAAAATGATGGTTTGCCACTCCTGAAACTGGAACAGGTTCATGTAGGCAATCAGTAACAATGACAGGCAATCAAGGCTGGGCTGTAATTAGTGTGAAATTGCTCTCTGTGAAACTGTTAGTAACAAGAGATTGCGTTTGATAAAGGAGCACTGACTCAGGCTGTTTGCATCGACCACTTTTATAGGAACAAAGCAATTACTTCATGCCTTGATATTCCTATGGGAGTAACCAAAGATTCAAGCCAAGGGAAAAATACAATTCCCCTCTCCCTCCCAAATGGTGTGGTCACTGATGGCTCCTCCTAGGAGGACACTTTGTGATTCCGGGTTTCTTGTGGCAGTCAGCTGCTGCTCTTACTAAGGTCAGTGACCACGTGTTTCTAGTCAACTTGAGACCTACTGTCAATAGATTACTTAAAATGTGCTAATACCCGCTTTCATCTTCCCAATATTCGCCAAGGCACCAATCTTTCCTCTTCCTTCTCTTACAGATTATTGATTCTGTTCTGTAGGAATCTACCTACTCAGGAATCCACTCCTTGTACTAGTCATCTATTGCTGAGTAACAAAATTACCCCCAAATTTAGAGGCTTAAAACAACAAACATGGCTTATCTCAGTTTCTGAGTCAGGGAGTTTGGGGGCAAATTAGTTGATGTCTCTGCCCTTAGGGTCTCTCAGCAAGCTGTGATCAGAGTTTTGGTGGGGTTTGCTTTAGTAAGATATAATTTATATATAATACATTGAATTTAGACTATGTGTTTGATGGATTATGACAAATGTACGCACCTATAAAACTACTACCAAAATAAAGAAACAGAAAATTTCCATCACAACAAAACTTCTCCTTGTGGCCCTTGGCAATCCATTCTTCCCTTTGTCCACAGCCCCAGGTAACAACAACTTACCTGCTTCTTGTCACTACAGGTAGTTTACATTTTATAGATTTTTAGGGTTTTTTTTGTTTTTGTTTTTTTTGTTTTTTTTTTTTTTGTCTTTAAATACATTTGTCTCTGCCTTCCCCCCATTTAGGGTTTTATATAAACTGAATCATGCAGTATGAACTCCTTTGTGTATATCTTCTTTCACTTATCCTAGTGAGTTGATTTTGAGATTTATTGATGCTGTCATGTGTATTAATGGTTAAGCCTTCTTTATTGCTGAATATTATTCCAGTGCATATAGATATACTACAATTTGTTGATCTAGTCCCCTGTTGATGGGCACTAGGGTTTTTTTTTTTCTTTCCCAGTTTGAGGCCATTGTTGATAACTTTCTGTGGGCATTTGTATGTAGTCAACATACTGACATAGGCACTCATGTCTCTTGGGTAAATACCTTGGAGTGAAATGACCTGGCCATACAATAGGTCTATGTCCAACTTTTTAAGAAACTACTAAATTCTTTTCCAAAACATAGTTGTACAATTTTTCATTCCCACCAATGAGACTTCCAGTTGCTCCCTATCTTCACCAACCCTAGGTATGGTTGATTTGATTTTAGTTACTCTAGAAGGTGTATGGTATGGTTTTAACTTGTGCTTTCCTAATGACCACCATGTTGAACAATTTTTTAGGTGCTTATTTCCTCTCCAAACCTTTTCTCTGGTAAAAGGTCTATTTTATCTTTATTTTTAATTGGGTCGCTCATCTTATTATTGTATTGTTTCTTACATACACATATTCTATATACAAGTCCATTATTGTGTGTGCACATATAAAATACAGGGTCTGGTACAAATAATACCCCTTTTATTACAAAACATTTTATTACAAAAATCATAAGCATGTAATTCTGTAACATAACAATATTACATGCAAGCACAGCATATGACATTTTAGGTGAAACATTGAAACTAAAACTGTAAATTATTACACTCATATTATTACCCTACCAACCACACTCAAGGAGGCATTACTTCTGCCAGATCCTGTATTCCTCATTCATTATTTGACTTTTCATTTTGAAAATAACTCTTGAAGATCTAAAGTTTATAATACTAATGCAGTTCAGTTTATTGATTTTTTTTCTTTTTATAGTTCACATTTTTTTGTCTTTAAGAATTTCTACCAAACCCAAAGTCATTAAAATGTACTCCCTTGTTGTCTTTTTAAAGTTTCATGGTTTTAGTTTTACATAAGTCCATGATTCATTTTCAGTTAATTTTTGTGTATGGTGTGAGGTAGAAGGTTCAAGTTTCAATTTTTTTGCATAGGGTTAGCCAATTACTCCAGCATCATTTATCAACGAGATTACCCTTTTCCCCATTGAATTGTCCTCACTCCTTTGTCAAAAACCAATTGATAATGTATGTGTTGGTATATTTCTGTATAGTATGTTCCATTTTTTTATTTATTTGTCTATCCTTATCCAATATGACATTGTATTGATTATTGCAGGTTTACAATAAGCCTTGAAATCAGAAAATGTAAGTCCTATCCTTCGTGGCAGCATGGGTGGCACTGGAGAGCATTATGCTAAGTGAAATAAGCCAGGGGGCGAAAGACAAATACCATGTGATCTCACCTATAAGTGGAACCTAATTAACAAAACAAACAAGCGGGCAGAACAGAACCAGGGACAGGGGAATAAAGAACAAACTGCCCGTGCCCAGGGGGCGTGGGGGGTGGGGGTGGAGCAGGATAACAGGAAGAGAAGGGAAAGGGTCACGTCAAGGAACATTTATAAAAGGCCTACGGACAAAGACAAGAGAGGGGAGAATTGAAAGTGGAGGGTGGGAGGTGGGGAGGAGAGGGGAACGGGGACAACTGTAACTAAACAACAACAACAAAAAGAAAATATTAAGCCCTTCAACATTGTTATTCTTTTTCAAAGTTGCCTCAGTTATACTCAGGTCTTTGAATTTTCATATTCTGCTGGGCTTTTGATTGGGATTACACTGAGTTTGTAGATCAATTTGTGGAAGAATTGACAAAATGAGGAGTCCCTTTGATCCAAGAACACTGTATATTTCTCTAGGTAGTATGTCTTTTTAATATTACCTAGCAATATTTTGTAATTTTTAGTAAAAAGGTGTTACATATCTTTTGCCAAATATACCCCTAATTTTTCATATTTTAAATATTATTAAGGTATTTTTTAAAATTTCACTTTCTGATTACCTGTTAT